GTCTGTGATTCTATGAATATGTGACTTACTGACTGTGATTCTATGAATCTGTGACTTATTGTCTGTGATTCTATGAATCTGTGACTTAGTAACGTTGTAACTATTTGATTCTATGACTTGGTGATTCTCTGATTCTGTGACTTTGTGACTTAGTCACTATGTAACCGTGATTCGGTGATTCTATGGTTCTGTGACTTAGTGACTGATTTCTTGACTTAGTGACTGATTTCTTGACTTAGGTCGTTTTCACACTAGATAGTCCGGTAGACTCAGCTCGGGACCAATATTCATGACCTTTTGTTTACATTTGAGCTGGTGCGTTTGCATTCACACTGCACTGTGCAGTCGAGTCAACCTGTTGAACCAACCTGTTCCCCCGCTCGCCTGTGGGGGCGCTGCACCAAGAACTACTGAAAGAAACGACACAAAAACCTCTGAAGACACCTTCTTCTTCTTCTGTAAATAAAAATAAAAACGAAGTGGCATCAAGTTTTAGCAGTTTTAGGAGTTATATTTTGTCATTTTTCAAAAATAGACTTAGCATGAGCAGAAGATGAGACAGAAGAACATGGAGAATATTGTTTTTCACACAAGGCAGTTGACGGCTCCATATGAGGTCAGAGAAATGTGTTTGTTTGTCCTGCGGAGCGGGCCCGGTCTGTTTACATTCACACTGTACTCGAACCGCGCTGGAGTTCGTTTCTACCGGACCGAGACCTAGGTTTTAGCCTGGTCCAGAGTTCGCCTTTTTGTTCCGTGACAGAGTTCGATGGCGCGTTCACACCTCCCTAAACGAACCGGACTTTCAAGGAAAACGAGCTAGAGTTCGATTAAAGTGGACTAAACAGGGCTGGTGTGAATGCACCCTCAGTGACTCTGTGATTTCTGGACTTTGTGACTATGATTTCTTGACTTAGTGATCCCATGATTTGGTGACTCTGGGATTTCTTGACTTAGTGACTCTGTGATTTCTTGACTTAGTGACTCTGTGAGTTATTGACTTAGTGACTCTGTGACTTATTGACTTAGTGACTGTGACTTATTGACTTAGTGACTCTGTGACTTATTGACTCTAGGACTATGTGACTTGGTGTTTAATTGTGCAGTAGTCCCTCATTTATCACAAGGTTTAAGGGACCACGCCCCCCGGGATAAGTAAAAAAAACATAAAATAGGGATACAGTAGTCAAAGTTGAAGTTTCACTCCCAGTCTCCCTCCTTCTGTGTAACTAAACAATTTAAAATTAAATACTGTAATATTTAAAATAAACAATCCAGGATTGCTTACTTAAAATATTACAGTATTTACATTTACATTTTAGAGAAGAAACGCACAGCAGGACGGCAAAGGGTTAACCCTTCATGCAGCACAGAGCAGAAATGTGCTTCTTGATCAATTACACTTTAATAACTGAACATGGAAGTTCTAAAATAATTAAAAATAATTTTAACGCATATTTTGTGATTATGACGATTTTACAATGTGACATACTTTGAATTTTAAGTTGGAAGACAAAAGACGATCGCGATACAACTGGACAGCAAAGGGTTAACCCTTCACAAGGCTGCTTCAGCCGGAGGACAAATGTGTTGGTGGCAGAGAGAGGTGATCATGACAGGCTGCAGCGGGAGCTTCTCCCTGCACCTGTGGGCTGCACAAAGGTGCAGTAGGTGCTAAATCATTTAAAATTATTTATTTTAAATTAACAATCCATGCCGATGGTGTGGCTCATCCATCAATCAGCCAATTGTGTGTCATGTCCACTCTTACTTTGAAAAACAGCAAAAGAGCGAATCCGCGAAAGTCGAACCGCAAAGTAGCGAGGGACTCCTGTAATGCATGTGAAGCTCAAAGGAGAACTTTAAGGTCTTTATGTGTGTATAATACGTAGTTGTTGATGCATGACTGACTCATAAATAAATAAATTCATTTGACGCTCAACATCTGCTCAGTTGTTTAGAATATATTTTTGATCAAAACAAAAAAAATATTACATCCAAAATAAAAACAAGAACTCAAACTTAATCTGTAAGCATCTAAATTTCCTGTTAATGTTCGTAGGACTTGAGACACGCAGCAGAAAGTTCAGATCTGAGGACTCCTCTGCCTCTGATGAAATGACAGGAAGTGATTTATGATTAATTATGTTTTTAAAACATTTGAGAGCTCGGAGCACATTCTGACTAAATCTACAAGTCAGACAGAAGAAAATGCAACATCTTTCCTCTATGCGAGTTTGCGAAAATAAACTTTTCTGGAAGATGAAGGGCCTTGCCATCGCTGGTCTCAGGGGGAGAGTTTTGTTTTCCTCTGCTTCAAACACGACGCAGAGAAAATGAAGAACTAGACATTTTCTGTAAAAATGCTGAGAGCGGAACGGAACTGGAAAACAAGCAGAACACGAGCTGAAATTACCAAAACAGTAGCTAAAACATCAAATCAGCAAAACCATGATAAAAACAAAAACTAGCAAAACTGTTGCTTTTAGCTAAAATTAATCCAACAGAAATAAAAATTAGCTAAATAAGGAAAAGCTAAAATAAACAAAAGAGAAAATTAGCAAAAATCATAGCTCAAAATTAAATTCATAACAAAGTAGCTAAAAGTAGCAGACAAAGCTAAAATTAGCTAAACAATATCTAATAGCTAAAGTAGCTATCTGAGCTTTTAGCAAATTTGTAGCTAAAAGCTCAAATTATTAACTAAACATTACACTTACAAAAGAAGAAAATTAGCAAACAGTAGCTAAATGCTAAAATGAACAATTTTAAAGCTAAAAGTTAAAATTGGCAAAACTTTAGCTGTAAGTGTCATGAACCAGAGGCCGGATCGCAAACAACAACAACAACCACTGAGGGGGTTAAAAGATTTATTGTGAAATAAAGTAAAAACTCTGGAGTAGGTCCGGTTCTGGGCTGGTTCCGATCTTCTGATTGGTAGTTCGAGATTGGGTAGTGTTGTAGTGGCAGGCTGCCAGTAGAAGTAGAACTGATGTTAAGGTCCACTGGAACGGAGTCCAACAGGCTTGCAACTAAAAGATAAAGGTTAGTAGATGCAGGGGGAAAAAGACTAATTGGGGAAATGAATCTGTGGGAATCAGATTCAGGGGTAAGGATAAGTCCGTGATACAGAATGAGCTTGACCTTTAATCCGTGATCCAAAAAACAGTCAGAAGGGAAAGGCAGAGTTCATACCGTGAAGTCAGTTGTTCAGCAGAAGTATCCAGTACGTGATCCAAAAAGAGAGTCAAAAAA